ATTATGTTCATCTATAAATTAGACGCAGCTTCATGTTTTTCAAGACATCTTTCCGGAATATGCGTCTGTGAAGGCGTTCAGATAATGACGATATTGCACAGAATTATTCATGAGATTCTTGTCAAAAGTAAGGTCGAATAATAGATCGATTTTATTCAGCAGTGTTGGCCCCGGGGCCCATAGTACGATTAAAGTTTGATCTGCTTGCACTTAGTACTAGTAACATATTAAGTTTCTATTGGTATTGAATGCATATTTCAGATAAAAGCTATGGTATTAATTACACAACATCTATATTGTTTGATGTTAAAAGATTTGGCAATGTGTGTTCATACATTACACTTTTTGACAGACTTGGCAAATAATTAATAAATGATATTGATAGCATCTTCACGACTTGGCCATACAGTCATGACAATTTAAGGAGTGAAAAGTGAGCGATAGGTCTTGTGGGAATTCAAAGATTCATTAAGACTGTAGCCGTCTAAGCGTAACTCTTTGTGTAATATTTATACATTTTCTATCCACGGACAACATGCTTCTAATATTAATATTATTTTCATGGATTCATCATATTTTATCTATAGCTGTGCTGTAGTTTTTCATTAAAATGTGGGGCGGTTGGGTACCCTAATGGTTAAAGCGTTGGCTCGTCACGCCGAAGACCCGGGTTCGAATCCCCACATGGGCACAATGTGTGAAGCCCATTTCTGGTGTCCCCCGCCGTGATGTTGCTGGAATATTGCTAAAAGCGGCGTAAAACCAAACTCAGTCAGTCAGTCATTAAAATGTCTTTTCTGTTGCTGGAATTGAAGTAAGTCCCACACAGAGAGCTGGGATCATATGTCTTTGAAATATAAATTATGCAAACGGCTGGAACCTTGTGTTCCAATACAAAACGTTCGTAACGCTACGACATGCGCATGCCTATGATAAACTATAGAGTTGGCCTCAACCATTGACTGGATTACATTCTCTTAGTCAGCAGAGAAATTTCGACTTCTCTTTTTCCTTGGGGTGTAGGCGACATTTTGCGTTTCCATTTTTGGTAAACCGGAAGTAAACAGAAAACGGAACTATGGGATATATGGAAGCTAACCAGTGACGTTAACCACACTGTTAAACTTTGACGGCAACGTTAGCTAACGGAATGACTAACCATGTTTTGAACAACGCATATTTAACGTTCGGTTACCTAACGGCCGGTTAAGGATTTAACCGGCCGTTAGGAGTTAACCGGCGGTTAAGATAACCGAGTATTGAACAACCGGGCCCAGATAGATAGTTAGTTAACCAACTAAGTACGTTTCCACGAACGCCATCATTTTCTAATTTGTGCAATAAACCTTTATGCCATGCCCTGTAAAAAGCTTTTGAAATATCACAAAACAGCATACAGTAAAGGTGGTGATTATCTAGGACTGAGCATATATTATGATAAATGTCTATGTTGAGATGTAGTAGAATGACTAGCAGTAGAACCTGACTGGAATTTACTTAAAATGTTATGTTCATGGAAATGGTCGTGCACATGCTTTACCATTATTCTTTCAAGGATTTTCCAAAGGATAGGTATTAAACTTATAGGTCTGTAATTAGTTGGGAGGGATGCCTTTCCTTCTTTCAAAATAGGAGTAACATTACCCGTTTTCCACAATGTAGGAAATACAGTCACTCAGTGATATATTATACAGCAAACAAAGAGGTTCGGCTATAGATGTACAAATTCGTTTTAACACTCTCATGTTAATGCCATCAGGTCCACTAGATTTGTTTGCTGGTAAGGTCTTATCAGATACCTCCTTTTCGGTTACAATGATATTTGTTATACTGTTAACACAGCGATGGCTAACAGGTGGCAAAGTCTTGCCGCCATCAGTAACATTTGAAACAGATACAAAATATTCATTTAATGTTTGAGCTTTATCCAAATCTGTAAAAACTGAAGGTATCCCAGAATCATCAGTGACAAGAAGGGGAATGGGTCCCGATGAAGTAGTAACCACCTGATTGAGTAGACTGAGTGATAAATAGTTATCAAAAATAGATTAAAAGTTTCCTTTGGCTATTCTTTTTAGATTATTTACTTTATTCCTTTGCTTTTTGTATTTAAATAGCTCAGAAGTATTAAGTGATCGAAATGCTTTTTTCCTTAGACGTTCTCATTTCTTTTAAGTATGTTACAAGGGGCGTTGAAAAAGTAGTCAAACTAACTAGATGTCACTAGGTCACTAAATTCAAGTGGTGTCGGTAAATCTCGTCAATAAACCTTGGTACCAAATTTGAACAAAATCCATCATTTCTTACTCGAGTTCTTTCAGTAAACCGAAGGGTGAGTCATTTGAACAAGCGATTGTAGTTTCAAATTGCCTTTTGTGCAGTTTAATATCTAAGTTTAATTCTAGCCGACCTCTACCAATCTCAAACATACAAAAATGTTTCTTGCTTATTTTGTTTCCTGAAGTTTAATTTGAGATGCATTTCATTGCTAGTCAGCTAGGCTATTCCATTTGTCCGAACCACAACATACGGAGACAGATCATTTAGCAGACCGGGTGCTGTACTCTGGAATTGATTACCTGAAAATGTCAGAAAATCGGAAAATATCAACAGTTTCCGATCTTCTCGCAAAACCATCCTCTTCAAACGAGCATTCGACTAAGCGCACATGAGCAGGACTCTGGATATGTAGCGCTATACAAATGTCTAATTTGATTTGATTTGATTTGATATACCCGTTAGAAACCCACCCCACCCACCCCACTTTATATTTATACATATCAAAACCTCAAAAGATATTTGCGAAAAGACATGATACAGAGGACAGTAAGAGATCTTATATCGATTATATATCAGGACGAATATCATTTTCGTCATTTATCTCAGATTTGTCAATTCTTTCTTAGGTTATCGCGCTAACAATCTTTATATTGTCAAAACCCTCAGATTTTGGCTGTGACCTTGAAAATTATCTCAAGGTCACTCCATTTCACTTGTGTCGGTGAATCTCGCCAATATACCTTGGTACCAAATTTGAACAAAATCCATCATTTCTTTCTTGAGTTATCGCCCTAACAAGCTTATTTGATGTATGAAATGCAACGAAAAACAAACACCTGCGTATTTACGAGTGATTAAAACTGTTATTACAATTTACGTAAATATTTATTACATTTTACCGCAACGAAAATTATAACAATTTACGTCAATTTTTATTACAATTTGCGTATTACAATTGACGTCAATTTTTATTACAATTTACGTTTTTATTACAATTTACGTCAAGTTTATTACAATTTGCTGCAAGTATTACAATTTGCGTTTTTATTACAATTTACGTCGTAACACCCTTCGCCCCCTCACCCCAACACCCCTCAGGTTTTACGTTTTCAAGTGAAAACAAGTAAAACCCAGAAGAGATTCCTCTGACAGATATACCGTGGAAACAAAATGTATTAACATTTGTTTAATATATGTGTACAAGTGCGTTGGGGAATTCTAAAGAAACTCTAGTAAAATATACCTGGCCAGGTAATATCCGCAAAACATGGCCCCTTCTGATGAACCACCTATTTTCAACCTAATATCTGTTTTGTGGTCAAGATTTCTCAACTACTGATAAAGAGGGTCTGGGTTCGATTCCCATCATGGATGATGGAAGACTTTCAATTACACGTTTGAAACACTACGTTTGATTATTGTTAAAGTCAGCACTCAGCAATATTCCTGCTATATGGTTGCGGTTTGTCTGACTGAGTTTAGTTGTACGCCGCTTTTAGCAATATTCCAGCAATATCACGGCGGGGGACACCAGATTTCGGCTTAACACATTGTGCCCATGTGGGGAATCGAACCCGGGTCTTCGGCGTGACGTGCCAACGCTTTAACCACTAGGCTACCCCAACGCCCCGCGGCGGTTTGTAAATAACCGAGTCTGGATCAGACAATCCAGTGATCAACATCATGAACATTGGTCTACGCATTTGGTAATAAATAATGAGTCGACACTTCAATTTAAAAGGAATCTTGATAGCAAGATCAAGAGGGAAGTGAAACATCTAATACCAGATCTTGCTCGGAAAAATATATCTTCATCCTAATTCTTCCTTTATGCAGATAAAATAGTTTGGTTCAGTTGAAAGTTTCAGCATTATGGTTTATTTTTATGGCAGACTGAAGGTTTAATGTGTTATGATGTTGCCATGTCTTGGTCATCTTCTTCGTGGTTGGGCATCCTAAGCTGGTTTGGAAGTATGGCCACTTACAATTGATAAGCGTGTGCTATGTTGCTGACAGTTTATAGTTTCAATCAAAGTTTCGTGACCAAAGAGCATGTAAAGTCATTACAGATATTTGCTAAATTCTTTTCACCATGATGTGCCATGCTACACAACCTTTACATGGAGTTTTCAAATCTCCCTACTCACTGGCATGTACATGTACATTTGTCTACTCGTCAAAATTGAGATAATAGTTATATGAATGGATTACTGAAAATCTGTGATGACTCGGGTGTTCTATACAAAGGAAAGCCGCAATTCCTTAACGACAGGAATATTGATCTTCAGTAACCCATGCTTGTCGTAAGAGGCGACTAACGGGATCGGGTGGTCAGGCTCGCTGACTTTGTTGACACATGTCATCGATTCCCAACTGCGCAGATCGATGCTCATGCAGGTGATCACTGGCTTGTCTGGTCCAGACTCGATTATTTACAGACTGCCGCCATATAGCTTGAATATTGCGACGTAAAACTGAACTCACTCACTCCCTAACGACAGTGATGCTCCCATCAAACCACGGTGGCCACTGACCAGTACTATTTTGAGATCCATCCAACCATCCAAGATTTGTGTACCTTAGTACATTGTCACCCGTCTGAATCATTAATGAATCATGCGCCTTTATGGATGACACCTTCTAGTTTATTGCATAGAGCGAGGTTCCAGTGTTGATTCTTACATCGTTATCAAGCTAAGTGAATCATGTTCTGTTCGCAGCCCAACTCCAGGAGATCCGGAGAAGCAGTCTGTCTCGTATCATCTGCGACAACACTAACACCTTTCACGTGCAGAGAGACGCCTTTAAACCCGTATCTCGAAGGTAAGAGATGGGGTGAAATTGGGTTTAACGTCGTGCTTGAGAATATTTCGCTCAGATGACGACGTGCATGCGTGTGTATGTGTGGCTGCTTGTACTAGCCCAGACTGAAGCTGGTTTTATAGTGCTAGCCCACTGAGATAATACTGGTATCTCGGTGGGCTAGCACTATAAAACCAGCTTATGTCTGGGCTAGTACAAGCAGCCACACATACACATACACACGCATGTACTTAGTCATATGAGCGAAATATTCTCAAGCACGACGTTAAACCCAACTTCACCTCACCTCACCTCACCTCACCGTCATAACTGTACTGATTATAATATCAAGAATCATTTGGAATGATTACTGTACGAGTTTTGGTATTGCGTAAAATGCAGATAACAAACCCGAACAACAACAACAACAACAACAACAATAAAAATATATAAATTAAAAAATATTCAACATTTCTCTGGGCGCCTGCTATCAGTTCAACTTGGTTGAATTTGTTTCTCAGATTGAATAGATAACCCAATATTTAATGGAATCATCACCACTGACTCCCTTCCCCCTAAACAGACACACACCCTTGAAGATCCAGGTTAGAATTGGTCTTCACTAACCCATGCTTGTTAAGAGGCGACTAACGGGATAGGGTGGTCAGCCTCGCTGACTGTTGACACATGTCTGGTTCAGACTCGGTCATTTACAGACCACTGACATATAGCTGGAATATTGCTGAGTGCGGCGCTAAACAACAAACCAAACAAACATGCGCAACGGTATCAAGCTCGCAGACTTGATTGATACTTGTTATTCTAACCCAGTTGTGTAGATCGATGCTCATGTTGTCAATCACTGGATTGTCCGGCCCAGATTCGATTATTTATACGCAGCCTTCAAATAGTTGGAATATTGCCGAGTGCGGCGTAAAACGTCAAACAAACAAAAAACCATCAAACAAAAAAAGTGACATGCCATGATGTAACTGAAACACTGTTCCAAACGGCGTTAAAACCAGTTCCCGCCCCTCTGGTAGCAATGTGTTGTAAAGGTATCATATCAAGACTCATGTTCTATTACCACCTGGATACAATCTGTGATGTGTGCGCCAATGCAACAGTTCCTTTGAATTCCTGAGTAGCCCCGGTGGAATCCTGTCAAGTAATTGTCAAATCTATCAGCGTCAATCCTTCAATCTAATTTTGTACAAATTGTTTGAGTGACGGGTGTCGCAGTATGAGCAGGACATCCTTCACGAACACCAAAGTCTTCACTGGTTTCCAATGATCCATCCACATAAGGGATAGCGTTCGCTCATCACGCCGAAGACCCGGGATCGATTACCCAATATGTGTGAAACCCGTATCTGGTGCGATATTGCTGGAATATTGCTAAAAGCAGCGTAAACCCATACTAACTCACTCCATCCATATAATATTCACACCTAACTATTCCTGTCATTTCGGAACTGCAGGGGCTTCAGCCGATAATCCACACTTGTCATCTCTACCGTTGACATTTATGTTTCCAGAAATCCCCGTGTGCCTTGCTTCCATATCCCCAAGCTTGACCTCACAAAATGGCAGGACCCAAATGGCGGCTTGCCAGGACATGGCATGTTGCCCAGATGCCTTGTTGGGGGCCATCCCTTCCCACTACAGAAGATGTGTGTACCCTGGGGTCGCGGCTGCTGGGGGTCGGGCAAGCTCTGGAAACCGTGTCCCCGTCCATCCATTTTAGGATGAATGTTCTTGAGTGCGTATGCGATTAACAACATGCCGCATTAAGCATAATGAATAAACAAAACAAGGTTGGTGCAATGGATTCGTCTTTTTATTTACGGGATGATTCACATGCGGTTAAATATAACCTACACGATAATGCGGAAATCATGTATCTTGTCTTGGCCGTAAACTCCCTTATCGTGCAAAGAAATGACGTAAAATGTAAATTTCTTTCCAGAATACTTATATATATCAACTGTCATGTGTATCGCCAAATTAAACTCTTCTTGGCAGCAAGCGTTACACATCTACTTTTGCAATTTATTTAGTTTAAATGTATTCAAATAATGAGTCTGATTTTATTTAACCATAGCTGTCATACTGGTAATGTCCAATACACATAAACTGGTAGATGTTATCAGTCCGAGTGTTGGCTACACCAGGCACTGATGGGGTCGCTAGTTATGGTGTTTTCGAACTGATGAACCCGTGAAGATCAGGGTTAGAGTTGGTCTTCAGCGACCCATGCTCGTAACAGGCAACCTACTCTTTCATGACAACAGTATGATTTTGTTTGTTTGCTGTTTAACGCCGCACTCAGCGATAGTCCAGCTATATGGCGGCTGTCTGTAAATAATCGGGTCTGGATCAGACAATTCAGTGATCAACAGCGTATATTTGATACGATGACATGTCATCGAGCCTGACCACCCGATCCATTAATCGCCTCTTACTACACGCATGGGTTGCTGAAGACCAATTGGTCAGAATCGTCACGTGATTATCAGACGAAACAGAAGAAGGGAAACGATGTTTCAACAGCTGTGAAGGTGGAAAGTACTTTTCTTTTCTGGGATTCAAAATGTAACTAACAATATATCCATCTACCCGTTCATTACGTCTGTCTTTCATTCAACCATGACGGCACTGGTCCAGCGTTCGAAAACCACTCGGACCCACAGCTTTTGTTTTCCTTAAGGCCGACAGTTTTTTCACCCCCAATAACTAAGAGTATTAGTTCCATATTAAAATATAGGGCCTACATATTCTGATCAGGAAGGGGCGGTTGGGTAGCCTGATGGTTAAAGCGTTGGCTCGTCACGCTGAAGACCCGGGTTCGATTCCTCACATGGGTACACTGTGTGAAGCCGCTTTCTGGTGTACCCCGCCATGATATTGCTGGAATATTGCTAAAAGCGGCGTAAAACCATACTCACTCACCATGATCAGGACTGACAACTTTTTATGGCTCTGGGTCCCTGGGGCTGCAGCTTTTCAGGGTTAAGGGCAAACACTGTACTGGTCACTCTCTGGACCTACACTCAAGGATTTCCAGTCCGACGCCACATAGCTAGAGTATTCCTGACTGTGGCGTAAAAAAGCATTCGCTCAGAACTCAGTATAAGGGATATGACACGTTGTCCTCGATGAGTAACATTACTGACTTGTGAAATTCATCCGCCCAGAAGACATCTATATGAAATCTGCACTTAAACGTCAGTAGAAGGCTTATTACGGATTTTATGACTGCAGCCTGCATAATGGAATTTGTAATCAAGTTGTCACAGCCTGTCACCTTGCGTGAAGATTTATTGAGGATTTAAGGCAGACCTGTGTTCGGTTTAAGTCAGTCTGTAGATAGCTGTGCAAGGTAAGACATGTTCCAGCTTTAAGAGCTTTAAGACTACCAGGGTAACAAATTAATCAAACTCTGCAGAAAGCCTTAAATATTCAAAGTGTTCATATTTTTCTCAAATTGTATACCATCAAATTATGCATAAATGTATTTGTCTGGCATATGCAGATATATCTTATTTCTTGGACATTTTGACAATTAAAAATATAAGACAGCTTTCATAAAAATCCTCTTAAAAACAAATCGTACACCTTTCAATGTTTTTGTATTGATCTTTTCATGTTTTAGGGTTTATGAACGTTCCTGTTTAAAACAATCAATTAATTCTCAAGATATCAGATATGTTTCAAACAGCAGCAGTTATCGTGTGACGTTATAATTTTATTGTTTTCGCCCTCTTTAACAGAAATTCATATTCAATATTTTAACATTTAATATTTGATCTGCTAGCATTCATTGAAGATGATGCCTTCCACATGGAGACCGGTCCTCTGGGTCCTAACTTCTAGTTTTTTACTCGTGACGTCACAGCCATCTGGCGGTAAGTTAATGATGACACATATCACATGTACATCCTGGTTAAAAAACTACTTAAGACACAATTACGGGCCAAAGGCGACAGGCATATCCTCAGTTTGCTTTAGTTAAAAAATATCCATTCGTGTTATAAGTGAAACATGACATGTATAATCCTCCGCTTTTAGATATAGGGCGTTAGCTAATTAAATAACAAACAAAGAGATTCGTAGCTGAATTAAAAATGGGTTCATATGAGACCATATGAGAAAACATATCTCCACAACCTTAATAGCCACAAGCGATGTCCTCAACATCATCATAGTTTTAGTGAGAGAGCGAGTGAGTTTAGCTTTAGCTATATTCCAGGAATGTTATGGCGGGGGGACATCAGAAATGGGTTCCACACAGTGTACCCATTTGGGGAATCGAACCCAGGTCTTCGGCGTGACGAAGGCTACCCACCGTCGTCATAGTTTCAGAATATAGTACAAATAGTACAAATGAAGTATAGTAAGTTTTTACTTGTATGTCTTTGTATAAAGATTTGCGTACGAAATATATAGCTGAATATTATCTATGTAAGCCACCTTCATTAGCATTTAAACTACTTCTTTCATCAACTGACCAGCATGTAACAATAAAGCTGTCGTACTATTAATTATGCTCTTATTAAACGTAACAATCTGATAAAAAGTTTGTAGGTCCATCGTATTTCACTACGTGTACATAATTTACTGCCTGTATTATGATTGGCTGTTTGGATCACTAATTACTACTTATTGCACCATATGTATAATGTATTTGTATACCTCCAATGTATATTGGCCGGAGGCCTTTTGTACAATACACATCTTTGACGTTGACTTGAGTCCAGTGTACCTTCTTTGAGTTTGTTATGGAGTATCCAAGAAGAATATAAAGATAGCGATTGTGCCTCGTTAGCCAGTTCCAGTATGTCAGTAACATTGTTAGGAGTGAACTTATTTCATTTTGTTTGCCCCAGGGGGAGCCGATCTCACAAATCGTCAGCACGCTGCCTTTGTCGGGGGTCGAAACTCAGTGATACAGGCCGGACAGGCCTTCCAGGCTGCCAGGGCCGGCAGGTGAATCTACACTCTGATATTCCGTGCTTTGGGTCTTTGTACATCAGATGAAGAATAAGAATAGTCATGCTGACTACCACAGTTACACCTCGACGTGTTACAGATACTGACTACCACAGTTAACACCTCGACGTGTTACAGATAATGACTACTACTACATCTCGACGTGTTACAGATTCTGACTATTACATCTCGACGTGTTACAGATACTGACTATTACATCTCGACGTGTTACAGAACTGACTACTACATCTCGACGTGTTACAGATACTGACTACTACATCTCGACGTGTTACAGATATACTGACTATTACATCTCGACGTGTTACAGATACTGACTACTACATCTCGACGTGTTACAGATACTGACTATTACATCTCGACGTGTTACAGATACTGACTATTACATCTCGACGTGTTATAGATACTGACTATTACATCTGTTATATCGACGTGATACTGACTATTACATCTCGACGTGTTACAGATACTGACTATTACATCTCGACGTGTTACAGATACTGACTATTACATCTCGACGTGTTACAGATACTGACTATTACATCTCGACGTGTTACAGATACTGACTATTACATCTCGACGTGTTACAGATACTGACTATTACATCTCGACGTGTTACAGATACTGACTATTACATCTCGACGTGACTATTACATCTCGACGTGTTACAGATATTGACTATTACATCTCGATACATCTCGACGTGTTACAGACTGACTATTACATCTCGACGTGTTACAGATACTGACTATTACATCTCGACGTGTTATAGATACTGACTATTACATCTCGACGTGTTACAGATACTGACTATTACATCTCGATCTCGACGTGTTACAGATATTGACTATTACATCTCGACGTGTTACAGATACTGACTATTACATCTCGACGTGTTACAGATACTGACTATTACATCTCGACGTGTTACAGATACTGACTATTACATCTCGACGTGTTACAGATACTGACTATTACATCTCGACGTGTTATAGATACGATACTGACTACTACATCTCGACGTGTTACAGATATTGACTATTACATCTCGACGTGTTACAGATACTGACTATTACATCTCGACGTGTTACAGATAGATACGTGTTACAGACTATTACATCTCGACGTGTTACAGATGATACTGACTACATACATCTCGACGTGTTACAGATACTGACTATTACATCTCGACGTGTTACAGATACTGACTATTACATCTCGACGTGTTACAGATACTGACTATTACATCTCGACGTGTTACAGATACGATACTGACTACTACATCTCGACGTGTTACAGATACTGACTATTACATCTCGACGTGTTACAGATACTGACTATTACATCTCGACGTGTTACAGATACTGACTATTACATCTCGACGTGTTATAGATACTGACTACTGACTATTACATCTCGACGTGTTATAGATACTGACTACTTACATCTCGACGTGTTATAGATACTGACTATTATCTCGATGACTTTACATCTCGACGTGTTACTGACTACTACATCTCGACGTGTTACAGATACTGACTACTACATCCCGACGTGTTACAGATACTGACTGTTACATCTCGACGTGTTACCGATATTGACTACTACAGTTACATCTCGACATGTAACAGATACTGACTACTACATCTCGACATATTACAGATACTGACTATTACATCTCGACGTGTTACCGATATTGACTACTACATCTACTACACGTCCACAATATCAACCCTGCCAGCTGTGATCAGTGGAGCAACTGTTCAAAGTGACTTAGAGCCCACACAACAGTCTTTTGACTGACCAATTGCTATGAATCAAGAAATATAATAAAGAACAGAAATGGATAAGCATGATATTGACATTATAAGTTGTTCACTGGTCACGAGGGGGACATGGGTTGTTATCTTACCTCACACATAAATGTCGCTTTCTGATTGGCTGAGCGCTCTTCTATTATTTTCAATGTACCCTGCTTACAAGCGAGTAACATTTCAATGTACCCCGCTGTCAATGGCAACTCATTTGTTACTTCGTGATAGTAATTCATTATCTCGAATAACATTGAATCACGTATGATGTACGGAAATTACCGATGTTTTGCGAATGCAAATCGATGGAAGGGAGATAACTCTAAATCTGTTTTTCTTGTCTGCAAAATCTAGCGATGACTACAAAACGATTTGTACCCGTGCTTCAAACAATTCAAATTTAACATTAAGGTGTTCGGTAAGATAAATACGTTGTTCACTGGTCCCTCGGGGCCCATGGGTTGATGTACCCTCGATGTTTGTTGATGTACCCTCGATGTTTGTACATCAACCCATGCCCCCCTCGTGACCAGTGAACAACTTATAATGTACCCTGTATGTATGTCTATGTTCCCCGAGCCCGAACATAAACAACCATAGAGGGTAGGCTACATCGACCCATGGGCAGCTGGGTACCAGGGAACAACGTATTTATCTTACCAAACACCTCAGTGTTAATTTTGAAATACGGGTATCGAATCATAATAAGGAGTAACAAAGTTAGGTAATTAATTCTGCGTCTATATTCCACGGAAACCAGAACTCGCATATAAACATGATTATATTGCACACAAATATTATTGATTTTATGGGAGCTTTCGCTGTAAAGAAAGTGACTTACTTTATAACCGCCAAGTTTCATGTACAATCTGAGTATTTTGTTCTTACAGGGTTCTAGCCAGAAGTGAAATGATAAATTTTACTGAGTACTTTTGTAACTCGGTGCAAGAACAGTGCAACGTCTGGTACCCTTACAGAACTCCCAACAGCGTCTGTAACAACTTGGCCAACCCAAGATGGGGATCGGCACCTACTCAGATGAGACGTTTCTTAGCACCTGCTTACGGAGATGGTAGGTTAGAAAATTACCGTTCCGTTCCATGTTGAGGATGTCCTAAAATTGCAGAGAGTAGTTTTTTTAAGGCAACGGTTCAGAGTTGAAACCTTCATGGAAAATAATTGTTTTAATTAAACATATATATATTCAGTTCTAACCGTTAGTCTACTACAGGGGACATTAATTATGATTGGAATCAGCTATGAGATTCGGGCGTTGGCTTGACGGGCCATTTATCCACTTGTCTATCACATAGCGGCTTAAGATGCTACTAATTCTCCAATTTGATATACCAAATATCTTCAAAGTGTGATAAATATTTATATAATGTAAGAGATATCGCCCTTTTGAAAGGTACTTCCAATCCGTGTTTGACAAAGCAAATGTATTGTTCTCTATCTGTTCCTAGAGCTCTGGTGATATTACGACCAACTGGCATGTTCCAAGAGGTTCAGTGAATGAGTGCGTGAGATGTGTTTAACGTCGGTTTGAAAAGTATTGTAGTTATTGTAGTATTGCGTTAAGTATTTAAAAATATATTCCAGCAATATTCCAGCAATATGGCGGCGGTCTGTAAATAATCGAGTCTGGACCAGACAATCCAGTGATCAACAGTATGACAATCGATCCACACAATTGGGAAACGATGACATGTGTAAACCAAGTCAGCGAGCCTGACCACCTGATCCCGATTGTTGAGCACGGTGTTAACAAACAAAATCGTACTGATGGCATGAAAGCGTAAGTCGCCTCTAACGACAAGCATGGGTTGCTGAAGATCAATTCTAACCCGGATGATAAAGATGAGCGCGAGTATGGAGCTGGCAAACCAAGAAAGATTATCACGGTTAACCAGGATTCAAACTTACAGTCCTGGCGTGGACAAGGGAGGTAATATCCTGAGATGTGTAGTTAAGTGATCAAAGTCGTTTCGTCATACAGGCATAAGTCTTCCGCGTACAAAGAGCGTGACTGGTGCTGATCTTCCCAGCGCGCGGTTCATCAGTTTCATTGTCCACGTCACCGAGGACCCTGACGACATCCCCAAGTACCGAGACTTCACCCACATGGTCATGCAGTGGGGACACTTCACCGACCACGACATCACACACTCACAACTACAAACACGTGAGTATACATATGATACACCTATGCCTAAACTAACCCGCTTATATTCGCTGATTGGAATGCACATTAATGTGCCAGCATTAGTAATTTTAAAATTAACAAACCACTCCTACCAAACCTTTATGAGAGAGTGTAATACAAATAATTTCCTAGAATTTCACTTAGGTATAAGTAAGGACCCGAGTTTTCAGTATGTCAGAGGAGTGTGTGAGATTGTTTAACGCCGCTCGAAGAGTATATCAGTTGTATGACGGCATGCGAGCTTAATATTGGAGGACAGCCTGACGTGATGCCATTCAAATACATTTACCATGTTAGTTAGCCAATGGAAACCCATAAGTGCCATCAAACCAGAAATCGGGGAATATTTATGAGTTTGCCAACGTGGATAACAAGCTTCAACTTCGACACAACAGTGTTTGGCAGTATTTAAAAATAGAAATACCTGATAATACTGATAATAGGTTGAAGTCTTGATATTTTGGGTGATACCGTTTTTGAAGTTGTGTTCTCAGTCTTCAGGGCAAAACTATCCCTTCAAGATATCCTGATATTTTGTGTCAGTAACTGTGCTTGTCTTTATCGATTAGGGTGGGTATTGCAGGGAATTTTCATATTGCGATATATTGCGATGCGAAAGCTTGTATTGCGATATGAATTGCAATATATTGCAAGAAATTGTTTTTGACAAATAATTACTTACACTCGAGTTAATGCTTGATTTATAAAGCAAAAACACAACAAAATCACAATGCTTGATTAGGCTTTAATAAGAACTTTTAATCATGGCAAAATAAAAATGTAAATAATGTTTGGCACAAATGAAACAAGGAAAGGAACAATCTAAAAAACGAAAATATCCGAAGATGTCCGAGTGTTACGAAGTTTTCCGAATGCATGTCAAAATACCGGTTTTCGATCAGCTTATCGCAATACGTATCGTTTTCATGTTTGAACCGGTAAATACCTGTAAACCGGTTATATTGCGCAGCCCTATAATCGATAAGACAAATCAGTGTATACTGCATACAATAAACAACTTTCCTAACAAACACGCTTTTAACGAACTCATGGTTTTATCGAACTTTCTGTTTGTCCCAGCCAATTGCTGTACATCCTATCGAAACGCATATAACGAACTGCGGTTATAACGTACTAAAATTAGTTGAACCTTTGAGTTCGCTACAACCGTAGTTTATTGTATACACGTTATCTTCATTCAGGCCCTGACAGAAGGCCATTGCTTGATGACTGTTGTCTCGAAGGAGCCGCCGCATTCGCTGCGCGCGCACTACCTGGAGGGTAAGTATCGGCATGAGTAGACATTAAAAAAAAAAAGATCAGATATAACATATCCTATAGTTGGATTACAATTTCTCAATAAAATACAATTCCTAGTCCTATTTGGTACTAGTACATCCGGGATTCGTGAAAGCCGCGATGGCTGAGTGGGTTAGATCGTTGACTCTGAGTGCTGACGACTAGGTGCAACAATCTGAGAGTTTCCCACCTTTCAATTGTCTGTCACATGTACATTAAAGACTTAGTTATGTCTCAGATAATTGTTATTGGGTATTGTGTTTAAGAAAAAATGCAGTTAACAATCTATTTTCAGAAAAAATATTTCTAAAACAGTTTCAAAATAATCCTAACTCCTTTATTATGTTCTGTTTCAGAAATCCCTGTTTTCCAATCTCAGTTCCACCGAATGACCCGTTCTTTGTTGGTCGCACCTGTTTGAGCTTCACGAGATCGATACAAGCGCCAAATCTACAGTGCCAACTTAACGGTAAATGCATAAAATGGCAAACAGACACTCATTAAAAACAACTTTTACATATAATGCTTTGACGGAAAAATTCAGCAACGTGATATCATTGTTCAGAATGAGAATTTGCAGCTTTAACACATAATTATTTTCTTAATGCTACAAAATTAATGTGGATAGAGAATCAAGATGAAGGTACTTCTACAGGCGTTTGAGAGATATTCTCAAACAATATGTATCAGTTGAGGCAGAATTATGTCAAACTTAATACTTATTAATTTGACAAAACGAAAGTACAGTAACGTGATCTATCACTGCTGACGTCATTAATGAACAAAAGACATCATCGCCATGCTGGTTCGTAAGTTGTTGTTTTTTAAATTTACATTTAAATTTTATTTCCTGACTCTTGTTGGACTATTAATGGTACACTGTCTCCTTGGTTTGCTGTTAAACGGGGTTGTAGACAATGCGATCCTCTTCTGCCTTATACCTTCATCTTCTGTGTAGAGATCCTGGCTGGTCTTATAAGAAAGAACAGTGTTTAATTAAGGGAATAACAGTTGATAATTATTAGTATTTTTTAACGCAATATGCAGAAGATGCAGGGTTTAGTTTAGATGGTTCACAGAAATCTTTTGAAGCTACAGTTGACACTTTGAATGTTTTTGCTGTTATATATGGACTTAAAATCAACTAGGATAAGTCTCAGGTGATACAGATAGGTGCAAGAAGGAATAGTTCAGCCAGATACTTACCTTGTTTAACCATAAAATGGTTCGTAAGTTACACCAATGGTACATTACATCTTCATCTTCATATGATAGGTGTGATTATGGCTGTGCCTTCGTCGGAGGTTGAAGAGCCACCGTCTTAATAGTAGGATATTTGTTCTTTTAATGTTCGGCTAAATTTCTCCATAATCGCCAACACCTGTTTAAATCCAGCTGGGGTCCATGCAGGCAGCAAAAGTATTGTAAGTCCCCATGGTTCCTAGTAAGGTGATCTGTCTTCAGTTGCTGGAGATCTGTAGCCCTTTTTATATTGTATTGTTTTCTGTAGTGATACATTTTATTATAACATGCTGGTCTTAAACCAAATCTGTGATACTCACAGAAACTTGCCGATGTGGCTTTAAATATTAACTCACTCACTGTTAGATCTGAAACAAAAACAACAAATGTCATGATACTCAGATACTCTATGCATTTACGTGCATGTGGTTTTGGGGTTATGTCTTCTATTACTACTGCTGCTATATATAAAACTAAGTGAGTGAGTATGGTTTTACGCCGCTTTTAGCAATATTCCAGCAATATCACGGCGGGAGACACCAGAAATGGGCTTCACACATTGTAACCATGTGGGGAATCGAACCCGGGTCTTTGGCTGACTAGCGAACGCTTCAACCACGAGGCTACCCAACCGCCCCTATAAAACTAAGCATTAAGCAATGACGTAATTGTCAATTTTGGCGAACTTTTGGGGTAACTACTTATTGTCAATGACCCAGTCAAAATAACACGTAAGTAACGTAACAACGTATTTTAAAAATAACGTTGATGTTTTCAGGGCCAGTAGAACAAGTGAACGCCATAACGTCCTTCTTAGATTCGTCGAACGTGTACGGATCGAGCAAGGAGGAGATCGACATCCATAGACTGTGGGTGGACGGTAATGTACATATGCCAACAATGCTTGATATTGTGAAATATATTGCTATGACTCGGAAACACGAACCACGTATCTGACTTAGCACGGCAGGTCTGCGGTGCTGCAAAATGTTCAGTTGATTCTGAAACAAAATCGAAAGTTCTTTTCAGTAGTATATATACTACTACTATATATATATTATACACACACACACACCATGTATCCAGTTGAGTTAGGGACAGACACGCCACTGACTGAAGGAAAGAGCAACTGCCCTTGCAATAACAGTTACATGTAATCAAGAGGCGACTCTGGTTGACACATGTCATGTTATCCTAATTGCGCAGATTGATGCTCATGATGTTGATCACTGGATTCTCTGGTCCAGCCTCGATTACTTACTGGCCACCGTCATGTGGCTCGAATATTGCTGAGTACGGCGTTAGACAAACAAAACAAAAAACAACGTAATCAGTCAAGGTGACATTCTACAACTCATCTATTTTACAGTTTTTTAAATTTTTATTGACGATGGCACGAAACAGATCTGTCATGTCAAATGTTATCAGAATGTATAAGTGAGAATAAAGGACAATCATAACTGTTGCGTTTCATAATTAGCCTCCAAGACGCCTTCAATAAGTGCCTAATGTGAAGATATCTGATGGGACGATATTAAACCTACACCCACCACTATCCATAACCGCCCACCCACCCTTGCCAAAAAAGCGAACGTTTCCAAAACGTGTCCATTCCTGTAACCATTTTAGGGAGGGCCTCATGAAATATGAATGATAATACTAGGCATTGGTACAAAGATAAGAGTTGACGAGAAAACTCAATGCAAGACACTTTCGAAAAGGTCGATATTCTCTGTGGGCCATCATTTCGGTCAGTTTTCATTGATTCTGATCGTCATAGTTTTGAGATTTGATTTCATTTATAGTTTGTGAATGAAGTACCGAGGAGCGTCTGTGGACTTACAGTGAGTAAGTGAGTTTAGTTTTACGCCGCACTCAGCAACATTCCAGCTATATCGAGGCGGTCTGTAAGTAATCGAGTCTGGACCAGACAATCCAGTGATCAACAGCATGATAATCGATCTACGTAATTGGGAACCGATTCTACGGACTACAGAAGTCAGTGGCAGTGACCAGTTCGTTGAATGTTTATAAAATGTACACGATTAGCAGTCTATAGAATAGATACTAATTTGCCCAAAATCTGGACGATCGAAGACGTTCAGGGCATCCCAGATAAACGGTGAGCGTCAACGAAAAGGTCGTCGACGAGGTTGACTGAAGCGATGGCGCTTCAAGGTGGCACAGCCTCTTCCTCACTGCCACAAATGGAGTATGCCTCGTCAGGTTATAAATGTTTGACAAATCATGGCGATATTAATACAACTAAACCGCCATTTATAATGTGTCTATTTTAACCCCTAATGTCCTTCAAGATCGTTTTCGCTGACAACATCTACTGTCAAACTTCACAACCTGTTGTAATGTGTACCCAGTTGGTTTGTTGTGATCATACAACTACAACCGAATTATATCACTGACAACAGTGCAATTTGAAGTTATTTCCTATAGTCCGTTTGGCTCAAAAGGGGTCCGATGAATTGTAATCTAACTCGAAACTGTGCCGTCTCCATCCTTTCTCGCACACCTGGCTGTTCTTGTCTTTGCACTCCTCCCTCGTAACAAATAGTGAACTGTGTCAATATTTTAATGATAGTTTGTTAAACAACTTTTCTAGTATAAGGGGATAAATTCTGCAAAAAAACTCACGGAGTTGGTCTGATGTTTTGATTATGATCAGCGTTTCATTGATTATTATATGTTTATTAGCTTTCGAGTTAGCTTGCAATTCATCGGTCCGCTTTTGAGCCAAACGGACCATAGTATCCGCTATGTATATGAGAAACATAATCTCTATGCAAACTGAGTGATTGACGTGTGATACCGATATAGTAAGACATGCAAACCCATTTCACAAACACCGGGTGTCATAACTGATGTTCAGTGACCTATTCAAAAACTAACATTCATCGCAACTTTGCCTTTTAAGTCAAGAGGTATCAGTTATCGAGGATAATGGAAACTATTTTTTGGTATTGATTATTTTATCTAATACCTTCAGGTCTCCTCAACTTCACCGACTATAACCTTCTTCCAACTGACGAGAAAGAAACAGCTATGGGAGTTTGCAATGCGCCTTGCTTCGATGCAGGTTAGTGTTCAAATACTCAACACGTATATATGTTGTTAAGCGTTCTGTACGGTTTGGTAATCTGTTAGCCGAGATCCGTGATGGGGTCAAGACTGCTTAAGCTAGTACGGACTAATGCCGGTTGATATATTCAATGCTAGCCATAGCAGATGCCATGTCGAATTAGCGCCAGGCAGAGTAACAAGAACCATCTTTTAGCATGTTTTGGTATGTCGCAATCGGGATCGAACCAATAACCTTTAGCTCTCGGGCAAAAACTCGATCCATTGGACCAAGAGAGCGGTTCACTGTCGTTTTACGTAGTTATTATACACCAATATTAACGACCTCCTCAGGTTCAAACTGACTTATTTCAAAGCATCTGGTTTTCGGCGACAATACCCTGTGATCGATTCTCTTCTACATTTCCAGGTGATACCCGCAGGAACGAACAGATGGGTCTTACCAGTATGCATACCTTAATGATGAGGGAACACAACCGAATTGCGAGGACTCTTAAAAAATACAACCCACACTGGAACGATGAGAAACTCTTTCAAGAAAGTAGAAAGATCGTTGGTGCAATGGCTCAGAAAATAACCTACAGCGATTGGCTACAACTCATACTGGATCCTCTGACACGAAGGAAAAACAACATTGACTCAACCGGGCCTGGCTTTGCCAATGTCTATGATCCAACTATCGACCCCAGTATTCGAAATGTATTTGGAGCTGCAGCGTTTCGGTTTGGTCATACTCTTGTCCGAACATTCTTCAGCCGACGCCGTCCAAACTACTCCGTCAACGTCATCCACAGAACCAGTGACTTGTTCGGCAAGACCAAGATCATAAGAGACTCCAGAGGAAACGCTGTACATGAATTCCTACGTGGTCAGCTTGTTGACTCAGCTGGTAAGTTTGACCGTCACATAACTCCTACCTTGACCAATGAGTTGTTCAAGAGCGGAACAAACAGTTTGGACCTGGCAGCGTTCAACATCCAGCGTGGTAGGGATCATGGCACCCAGTCGTACAACGCCTGGAGAGAGTTCTGTGGTCTCCCTAGGGCCTATTACTTCACAACAGGATATGGAGGCTTCACGGATCACACCGAGGATGCCGTGCATCAGCTGGCTAAAGCATATGCAGGCTTGTGGGTATATCCTTTCTATCTCAACTATCTATATCAAATGTCTTTCAAATGACGGTTGCCTTTTCTCTTGGTTCAACTGGCGTGATTTTGTTGTTGTGACAGTGATATAAATTCTTTAAGGTGGTTGTTTTTTAGGAAATATGACTGTTATAAAATGTTCATTGTCCTTTTGGTTAAAATGTTGGCTTGACACACCGAAGACCAAGTTTCCATTTCTCACATTGGAACAATATGTGAAGCCCATTTCTGGTTCCCCCGCTGTGATATTGGTGGAATATTGCGGAAGGCGGAACGGAGCGGAACTCCGTACCAGTGCAATATCCATGAAAGATTATTAATGACATATTGAGATCATTTGTGGTTCATTATCATATCTTATGGGTCCCCGTTACCTAGCCAAAGCCACAAGGTTAAAGTCAGGGCCGACTACAAGAGCACGCGTTTACACTCTACAGACAGAAACCTTATCTTGGATTGGTTTCCAAAGATTAGACGGAGGGGCTGGGCTGGGATTGGGGCTGGGGTGGGGGTTCGGTGGGATTGAGATAAAATATATTTTATTTTTCACGTCGAAAGTCACGGCGGGCGAGAGATGTGAAACCCTGAACAAAATATAGACAGCTTAAAACGTGTAACTTCTGTTGTAGAAGCCCGGATGACGTTGATGTGTTCCCCGGTGCCATATCGGAAAGACCTGTGCCAGGTGGCATTGTCGGACCAACCTTTGCCTGTTTAATCGGGAGACAGTTTGGATTCATCAAGAAAGGGGATCGCTTCTGGTATGAACTAAACAGACCGGTGACAGGTTTCTCAAGAGGTAAGTACTAAATAACGACATGGATTCGTTGTGGAAGCGGATCCGGTAATACTGGACTCCCGTCATAACCAAACTTGTTATAATTTAACAATTAAACGTCAAAGTCACACAAAGTAGACAACGTTGAGTTCGAGAGCAACAACTGTTATTTATAGCAACACTATCATAGCAACGTTTCCATACAGAACATTATACCGTTGTCAAGCAAGTCCACCAGGGCATACAATTATATGTTAGGCGAAGGATTAACATACTTGTGAGTGTTAAGTTAATTGCGCCTACGGGCTGTATGATCCCCAGGGAGTTGAAAAAAATCGGAAATTACGATAGTGTCCTATGACCGGGGATAGTAATGTACGTAGCGCCGTGAGCAGGCAATGTGCCTGGATATGAGCGATATATCAGCGGACTATTACTATTACTTGAAAGGGATTACTACAAGTGGGATAACAATACCACCAGATGAATAATCAGATGACGAAGGCTTGCTTTGACAAGGGAATATAGATCTATACCAAAAAATATTTAAAAGGAACTGTTATCCGCAAAATGTGTCTACTTTGTCTTCCATTATCATGAAGGAACGCCTATGAAACTGTTCTGTCTGTTCTAGATGTTGTGCGTTGATCCTAAATTTCAGACTGCAGATATTTTAGGCCGGCATTTGTTGCTTTATTTCACCTCGAAATTATTAAGTCGAGCATCTTGATAAATGCGAAACACTAGTACTCATCTTAGTTGTTTGGTGTCGGTGGGGTAGTGCTCTATTGATGACATACTGAGTCGCGTCTTATGTACCACCCACAGCCCAGTTGGCCGAGATCAGGAAGGCCAGTCTGTCCAAGATCATCTGTGACAATACAGACACCTTCTTCGTACAAGCGAATGCCTTCAGGAAAGCACGTAGATACAGGTACGTTGGGTCACACATTTTATAAATATTGTATTCCCTTTTACACACTTTACCGTGACATACATGACACAAGGTTTGTTTGTTGTTTAACGCCGCACCCAGCAATGTTCCATCTCTATGGCGACGGTCTGTATATAATCGTGCCTGGACCAGATAACCCAGCGATGTACATCATGAGCATCGATCTACTGATTGTTCACTGAGGCAAGATCCCCAGTAACTTACTGGAACCATGATCGAGTCGTCCATTAAGGGCGTCTGTTCTCATTCAGCAATATTCCAGCAGTATGACCATGGTAGGGAACTGATGGACAAGACAAACGTGTGTCTGATATCCTGAGCATCAATTCACGCCTTGGATTCGATAACATGGGATGCACAAAGTGAGCCATCTTGACCACAGAACCATTTGGTCGCCTCTTATGACCAGCATAGGTTCATGAGGACCTACATACTTACCCGGATTTGCAGCAAGAACAGACTCACGATGGGGGGTTACACTTGTAAATTAAACTACTGTGTGTCAGGTTACCTCGAACTGTAGTTTTATGTTGTTCTTGATGTCAACCACTGGTTGTCCTGGACCATGTGAGTTTGTGTGAGTGAATAGGTCTGAATGTGTGAATGTGTTTGTGAGCAAGTCAGCGGGTGACAGCGAAAACAGTACCACAGCTTTGCCGAGACGAGAAAAACAAAATTCCCAGAACTTATCATATCATAGTGTTAATATTTGCTATTTGACTACTGTGTTTTCAGGAACCCCTACCAGTCCTGTTATGCTCTTCCACAAGTGGACCTGAGTAAGTGGTGCGAAGCGACCTACAAGAAATGGTAGACACGCCATCGACATGGCATGGTTCTTCAAGAATATGCAGACACAACATAACCAAGTGCAAACACAGATAATTTTCAAGAGCAAAACATCATGTCATTAATATGTATGTAAATTGCAAAAACTGCAAAAAGGACTTTGAATAAAATTCAGATACACATTTTTGTGTCACTCATATTTTGAGAGAACGGTAACTAAAACAAATAGGAATAATCACACTTGCAGAAAAAGTATAAATCTTAACACGGCTTTTCATGTCGAATCCTCTTTAAATATATATTTTCCCTAAAAACCAAATATACACCGGCATTTGGAGTTTGACCTTCTAAACCGTGACAATAGAACTTATTAAAAACCTTAAATGCAACAAAACAATACATTCATTCTAACTGTACTGCATATTATGATTAATTACATTTTAAAGTGCACATTTTTTTATGGCCATTATAAAACACAAACATGCTTTTTCGTCAAACCTTCGTCAGTCATAGAGGATTACTGAAACAAAACTGACAATCGGAAGGTTGCGAATTAAAACTATGCATCTATAACAACAATTACAATACCACTTACTTCAAGTGATATGACTCTTTGCAAAATTCCATCAATATCAACAGACTTGAGAACATGCCGATATGAGCGAACGCTTCAACAAGAAGGTACCTCATCACTCAAACTTAAGAAAAACATCATAATCATCATACATCATGATCATGACCATATGCTAGTCGCCACTTTAGCCGACATGCTGAAGACCAATGGTAACCCGAATCTTCACGGGTCTCTCTTCGACACTCAGTGCCGCCAGGTTTGGAATGGAGCTTTATTAACGCGAGTGGAGGTCACACCCGACATTAATACTGATCACTGAGTTGGTACACGCTTTTAGGGCTCATCTTTCAGTCCCCCGTCACCAGGTATGATGAGAAACATTGATCAGACGAATTAAAAAAATATTTCAATATTTTCAATATTACAGTTACACCTCTAATTGTTTGATCGGCATTTTAGAAGTTGGTGAGTCAAAAATGAAACATGTAACTATTATGGATGACAACTTCTTATTTATCGATTGATAACAGTGTAAGAGTCTACATCGAACGTCGCTCTATGCAATAAATAAGAAGTTGTCATCCATAAAAGTTGTATGTTTCATGTATGTTTCAATTTACACCTCTTTACAGGATAATGTTGAGTTTGGTTTAATGTAAGTGATTAATGATATACTGAGCCTTAGCCTATGACAAATTGGAGCATTGTGATCGAAATGTGTCAATGGGCAGTTAACCTGTAAGAAAGCCGTATCCATTAAAAAATGATATACTTTCCATTATTTCCAGTCGAGATTCATCGTCGGTGGTTAACAAAAAACAAATCTGCTTTGTCGGTTCATACATAGTTTAATGTACCTGCCTGTTTAGTTACAATGTTGAACGCTCGATAAATCTGTTGACACTGTCAGACAATCCACTTAACACAGATGTGAAGTTTGTTTAAAGTTGATTAAAAACAACACCTTTTACATAAATAAGTCAACAATAATATAATGTTTTAAAGTGAACCATCTAATATAGCTCAGCAAAAAATCACTTCCCCTTGTCTTTTGTGAATGCAACTTGGATGACCACAGGAGCACTGAAATTGAGTTTTGGGTTAGGAACTGACGTACCTTTGCAGGCGCCATGAATATAACTGTGTTGAAAGCAATGGAAGTGCCAACTCCTCATCTTAAGATGTACAGCATTCCACTTCAAGTCTCTAGGCACCCATTTTATCAACTATTCAGTTGGTACCAATAATAAGACTGAGATTGCCATGTATCTCACTGCACACAGGGGTCAGCATTCGGCGTACCCAAAGGAGTTGGCATCCTCAGCTTCAGACCCCCAAAACACCAGTTGCTATTCGTACGTTTCAGAGACTGATTCCGATCATCAGGACTACTGCACACAGAGTGTACCGCCATTACACTTCGGTGATTGAAATTGAAAAGTTGTCGTTCTGTGAACGACATCAACAACATAACTGCTGATGACAACGTTCATGACTGAGTGGGTGTCATATCATAGTATCTTTACAATATCAATTTTTGAATTCTTTGCCATGGTACGGTCAAAATTATTTGGATACTCGATTTCAATTACATAACATACTGCAGAAACTATTGCTTTTGATTATATCGTGATTTATCAACTAACAGTCACTCCGTATCTGCATGAACCAAATAAAAAACAACTAGCCAACGACAATAATAAATAAAGGGTTCGTTATGTTCTACCTAACCTTATATTGATCCTTTGAGCCTCGGACACAGAACAAGTCCCGAGAGTACCTGCTGCTGTAGGTGGGAGTTGGCTAATGAGGACTGGATAGCCGCAATGTGCGACCTGACGCATGTGTTGTCATGATCACCTCGTGGGGGTGGAATCTTCAACTGGTTTGTCCGGCTAAGATAACATTATTCGCGATGTAACTTTAGCACTGGTGTCTGTGTTGAACACAATCAATCGCTCACTTCCCCAGTCGTGTAGCGTTTCCAATACTGATCCTAAGTACAGTAAATTTGCCAACTGTCGATTTGCATTGGCTTTAAACCGCCATAGAAAACGTTCAGTAGCATATAGCATCTAAATTGGAAACTAAATATACTGAGTATATTGCGGTCCAGAAATGTCATACTGACAGACTTAGTCAAAGCGCTGATGAGTGGAGCATACATATGTACAATGTTTGTTTCACAAAACATAATTTTATATTACTTCGTTTTACATTCCAGAAAAAGAGCATTGTGCCAACCTATTGTTCAGATTCAAAACTGAGGCATTTGTAGACAAAACACAATATTTTAAAGTCAATTCTTGATTTAACAGGCAGCCAGTGGAGGTTTTTCATGACAGGTGTTATGTGTGAGCGCTTTGAAGTTCTGCTTATGATTCGGGAGGCTGTATTTTGACATTTTGCAATTTTGATAGCAGCTTCTGAGAAATACCAAAAGGAGGCTATTGCAGTAATCAATTCTTGATATAACAAGTCCCTTGGACCAGACCGTGTGCTGCATCACGACTGATGAGATGGCGTATTCTGCCAATGGCTCGTAGATGAAAGAAGCATATTCTGCAGAGTTGATTTACATGAGTGTCCATCGCCAGGTGTGAGTCAAGTGTAACTCCAAGGTCTTTAACAGAGTCGACAGCTTGTATCTCTGCATCTGCTACCAGAACAGTTTTGGTGGTAATTTGTTTTTGCATTTGCCTGGATCCAATAACCACCACCCCCTAAGTTTTGTCATCATTTAACTTTAGCAAGTTGTTTGTCATCCATGACATAACATCTTTAGTACAGTCTGTTATTTTATGAAGACCAGTGTGAAAGTCCTTGGGAGTTGAGTTTTTCTGAAGTTGAGTGTCATCTGCAAACGAATGATGGGAAATGCCATGTTTGTCAATTACGTCTGCAACATCGGTCGTGTATGCTATGAAAAGAAGCGGACCGAGTACCGATCCCTGGGGTACACCACAGTGGACCAAGGAGGTTTGTGATTTGATGTTGTCTAACAGGACAGTCTGACTTCTGCTTTCGAGATAAGATTGTAACCAGATGAGGGGTACCCCATGGATTCCAAATTGGCCCTTGAGTCTTTCCAGAAGGAGTTGGTGGTCGATTGTATCGAAGGCAGCAGAGAGGTCAACAAGATAAGAGTAGCTAGTTTGCCTTCATCAACAGCAGTAAGTAAGTCGTTGGAGACTCTGAGGAGGGCTGACTCGGTGCTATGATTTGATCTGTAAGCGGACTGGAATTTATCCAAAGTGAAAAGGCAGAGAAATGATCCATGAGTCGAATATTGACTGCTCTCTCTCAAGTATCTTTGATATAAACTTCAGGTTAGAGACTGGTCGAAAGTTTTAAGCAAGTTTGGATCTAGGTTATCCTTCTTTAACAGGGGATGACAGTGGCATGTTTGAAAGAATCTGGGAAAACACCACTTATCAAACTACTGTTCACCATCTTTGTGATAACTGGGAGCAGCAAATCCAGGAATTCTTTACCAGCGATGTGGGAATCGGGTCCAAGTGACAAGTGGTCGGCTTGGATCCAGAAATGATCTTCTTGATGTCGTTTTCAGAAAATGGATGAAACTCCAATAGTGGTATACCAGAAAACTGTGTATCAGTAGGAGTATCAAACTGGAGCCTAATACCTTTCAGTGTTGAATGAATTTTGTCAATCTTGGCTCGAAAAAAAGTCATTAAAGGAGTCAGGAAGTTCATCAAAAGGTGGAGTTGAGGGTAGGATTGGATCATGCTTTTTCCCAAGAAGGCCATTTATAAATTTATGCATTTTCCTAGGATTATTTTTAATCTCCTCGATAGTGGACAGACAATAGTTCTTCTTAGCATGGGCTATGTGTTTAATCATGCTATTCCTCGCTTGACAATACATCTGACGATGAACTTCTAGTCGTGTCTTACGCCAAAGTCTTTCAGATTTACGTTTCTGAATTTTCGCCCAATGGACTTCATCATCATACCAGGGGAGAATTTGACCGCACAACAACAGTCTTGCTAACAGCAGGAGCGTGCTTGTCTAGGATTGCAGAGAGCGTATCCTGATAGAGATCTGCTAGAGCCTCAATGTCGTCTGGGGGTTCACACACCAGGCTTGACTTGGCAAGATCGGCCCTGAACAGGTCCTTATTGATTCGTTTATAATTTCGACAAGTTATTGTTTTGATGACATTTCCTGGTTTGGAAAGTTTTAACTGGACGTGAACCAAGAAGTGATCGGACATCTGACAATCACGTACCATCACATCATTGACAATGTCACTGTTTTCGTGAGATACGATCCAATCAAGTATGTTGCCAGATTTGTGAGTAGGCTCGTTAACATGTTGCATCAGACTATGGAGATGTAATAGTGACCTGAACTTCTTAACATCAGCTTTATCAGCATTGTTGAATTGTATGTTAAAGTCACCGACAAAAAGTCTACTCACTTTTTGAAGAAGAGGGAAGTAAACAATTCTCCGAGTTCCTTGTGAAAATCCGAAACAGAAAATCCATTCTTCATTGAAGGGGGTGGACGATAGATGCAGACAAGAGTCATTGATGTCTGTCCTGACACGACAGAGAGTGAAAGTTTTTCAAAAGATGAAGGAGCAGCACCATCGTTTCTAAGAATGCTCACTTTGAGTGATTGCTTGTAAAGAACCAATATGCCGCCCCATTTGAATACATACGAGGTAGATGCAACAACTTGAAACCTTGTGGGGTGAGTTCAGACATAATGACTTCATCGTGGTTATCCTTTAACCACGACTCTGTGACCACAAGTATGTCAAGATCCTCGTCCCCTAGCATTTCAGCTATTTCCAGGGTTTTATTGCAACAAGACTGAGCGTTCCAGAGACCAAGGTTTAGAAATGGTGAGGGAGATTTAGGATGAACATGGACGAGATTGTTCATATTGATTCCTCTTATTGATGATTGTGGAAAGTCATTTGAGTTAAATTACATTTGTTAAGACAGGTATATTCCGTGGTATATTTCTGCCACCTCTATTGCCTCTCTTTGTTTTCTTGCTGGTTAAAATTCTATGATGAGGTAAGAGTTTGAGAAGATCAGGGTCAGTGTAGCCAACATCAGCTTTGGCCTATTGTCAGATTGAGCTTGGGTCCTTCGAGGACAAAGGTCCAAGAGAGCTGCACGGGTGTAAGTGTAGCCAAATCCTTGATTGACCATTGTTGGTCGGGTGTTGAAAGCTTGGGGCTTGAGTGGTCCAGTGTTTGAAACAAAAATACTGTGACAAAATCCAAACAAAAAATGTCAGCATTAACATCATTTTGGAGCCTCAAAACAATTCAAAATTTTCAGACTTTCATCTATCGTATGATTTAAGAAACCCAACCACTATTGTGATTCCATCTACCTGCTTACATACTCGAAATTTTCTTACAATCAATATACACTGACATGGAATACTATCGGTGTAGCAGGTATCTAGAGTACATTTACAAATAAAGTCATACACACAAAGTGAGTTGCATTATTTTAGCCGGATCTAGGACAACTGCCATCTGGACAATAGCCATCGGACAATTACCACCCCGGACAATTGCCACCCCGGACTTTACGTGAGTCCACCAAGTCAACCTGTTCACCCAGCCCGACTAATCAGCCCATTCACATTTCAGACATATCAGACACTCAATAAGTTGTCCAGATTTGATGAGGTTATGATGCGGTTACAAAAACTAAACGTTATTGAACATTCCATGGTCAGCTGAAACATAATGTGAAAACAATTGGGGATAGAATGGATGAGGTGGAGGCTAGTCAGCAATTTCTCAGCAATATGTGGGAAGAGGACAGAACTAAGACAGAACAACATTTCTCAAAGGTTGATAAAGACGTGGGGGAAATGATGAAAGCAATAGAAGATTCAAAAACTGTATCTAACAAATTGACAGAAAATATTCTTGATGTCTAGAGTAGATCAATGAGGGTAAACTTACTGTTCTTCAATATTCGGGAGGGTCGGGACACTGAAAACTGTGTCACTGTTGTCCAGAACTTTTGTACTACGAATTTGGACTTGGCAGATCCCCTAGAAATAGACAGGGCTCACGGACTAGGAAAACCTAACCCAGGAAAGAAAAGATCAATTGTTGCATGCAAAATTTTGAAACTTTTCTCAACGTAAACTTGTGAGAAAAAATAGTAAAAACTCAAATCCACAAACTTCTCCATATCCGAACAATATCCTAAAGAGATTCAAGAAAGAAGAAAGTTCATACTCCCAGTATTAAAAAAAGCTAGAAGTGAGAACAGAAAGGTGTCATTTGTGAGGGATAAAGTATAAACTGAAGGGAAACTTTACACTGGACCAGAGTCAACCAACCCTACAAGGTCGGGCAGTAATGAGGATGTACTACTTAGAGGTATAAATATTATATACTCATGCCAATAATGGTTGTCACTTGTGTGAGTGTTGGATTGAAAACTCATATGAACTGGAAGTTCCAGGATTCCAAACACATATTATACCCAGAAGAAAATCTTAATCTACCGAAGATGGAGGTGCTATAGTGCTGATAAGAGTCAACCTTACCTCTCTTGTATCAATAAATGATGTATATTTTGACTCCTGGATGAAATTTGACAATCATGATTCCATCTATGATCAGGCCCAGTGTGTACTGTGCTTTGGTCTACATGCCACCAAACAATTCCTCATTTTATAACCTATATGACTGTGACCTGTTCCAAGAGCTTGAAAATCAAGTTGGAATGTATATGTCTCTTGGAAAAGTGTGTTTACTTGGATATTTTAATAGTAGAACAAGACACATGAATGATTATAATGAAAATGATAAGTTGCCCAGACTCTTAGTTTAACACCTAGACACGGTGATAACATATGAAGAAGACTCACTACTTCCTGTCCGCATGAACTGTGTAAATCTACAGGACTTGGAATATTGAGGTGAGGTGAGGTGAAATTGGGTTTATCGTCGTGCTTGAGAATATTTCGCTCATATGACGACGTAGAATATTGAATGGTAGAGACTGATTATACTTTCAACGGATCAAAGGGCATTAGTGTAATAGACGACTTAATCTGTATGTATGATATGTTTGAACAATTCCCAACATTTATTGTAAGTGACTTTCGTGAGGTTTCTGATCACGCTCCACTTCTTGTTGAAATGTCGGTCAGAAGTCGCCCCATATCTGAAATCGACAACTGCACGTGTCAATGTGAAGGTCGATCCGCCGACCATGGTGGTCTGACCGTACACATGTCACCTGAAATTGACAATAGCTGCAAGTGCACGTGCGACGTGCAAGGTGAAGTCTGTTCTGTGATTCTGTTCTGTGGAACGCTGACTGTGTGTTTGAAAGTAAACAGGCTTTGATTGTTAATGCTGATACATTAAATGCTTCTTTTGATAAACAGACTATTACTTCACAAGAATCCATGGACAACTGTATTGACAATTTTACAGCTAACCTGAATGATATAATGATAACATTTTTAAAGTTAGGTGTAAGGCAGGTGACAGTCGCACTCCCCTTCATAGGCCAGAGCAGACGACAAACCATGGTTCAGTGATGAGTAAGTTACTGTATATAGACTATATTAATGCCTTAAGGACCTTTAATAGAAATAAGACTCTAGATAATCATGAACATTTCCACACTAAAAAAAGTATTTACAAAAGGATGGAGAAAAGACTTAAGAGACTTTATTCAAAGTCGGAAGGGAATAGACTGTCTCGGCTGAATAATAATGATCCGAAACAGTTTCACTTGAAGTTTAACAAACGGTCAAAGGTCAAGCATGATGTCCCAATTAATGACTTCTATGAACATTTTAGAAATGTCGCAGGTTCAGCTGACATCAGCTCTGCAGATAAGCTCCGATTTTCGAATGCGGATGCTGTATATGAAGTACTTGACTTTGTGATTAGTGATATTGAGATCAAAGAGGCTATTCATTCTCTAAAGCGGCAGAAATCTCATGGACCCGATAATATGTTAAATGAATACTTTCTTGAATATGAAGAATATTTATTGCCTTTACTGACCATAATATTTAATTGTGTTTTATCAACTGGATATTTTTCTTGATCAAGGTCTTCAGCTGTCATTGTTCCGGTTTTCACAAAAGGGATACCTCTGACCCGAATAATTATCGTGGATATCAGACTCGTTAGTTGTTTTGGGAAGTTATTTACATCCATAATCAACCAGAGGCTTCAATCATGGTCTTCAGATCGCACATCCTCGATAAGCTCCTAGGTATACGTTACGATCACTCTCCACTATACCCTGGATGCATCCACGGCTTGGCCCGATAATTATATTACCTCCCTTTGCTGGCTCCACATTCTCACAGTAGCCAATCAGCTAAGCCGCCGTTATTTCCGAGCTTGCCAGTACCAACAAAGATAGCGGTCGCAGTCGCGAAGGTTTGTTCGCTGTGCCACTCAAATTTTTGGGGAAATCATACAGACAAATTGACAGATCTGAAACTTTAAAAAAATATAATCAAAGAACTCCTTCTACATCTTTCAGAGTACCTCTGCATCAATAGTGTTGCCAAGTTTAAACGGTTAGATAATTTAAGAAGCGAAAGTGAGATTTGTACGTTCAATCTTCCCAGCGTAGACACCTCATTTTTCATAAAAAGCCAGCAAAGGGGGGTAATAAAATCATCGGGCCAAGCCGTGGATGCATCCAGGGTATAGTGGAGAGTGATCTTAACGTATACCCTGGAGATTATCGAGGATGCAGATCGCAATGTTCCAACCGAATTTGGGAACAGTGGACGCCATATTTGCACTACACTAACTTATCAGTAAATCTTTAGGTGCTAAGAAACGTCTATATTGCGCTGTCATTTACTTTAGGAGGCCTTTCGACTCTGTAGATAGATATAAGTTGTGGTATAAATTGTCTACACTTGGAATCAGAGGTAAGCTGCTATCAGTTATCCACTCAATGTACCTTACTGTAAGGTCGTGTGTCAATGTCAATGGTTTCTGTAGTCGATATTTTGAAAATAATTTAGGCTTAATGCCAGGGGAAGTGTTGTCACCCATTTTATTCTCTCTGTTCATTTATGACTTTGAAGAGGCTTTTCTGCAAAATAATTGCGTTCCCTATTAGTGCAAAACTCTTAGCCTTTTCTTGTTGATGTACGCTGACGATCTTGTTTTATTTTCTGAGTCAGTCGATGGTCTCCAACAGATGCTTAATACCCTATCAACTTACTCCGAGAAAGGTGGAATGCAGGTTAACACTCTGAAAACCAAGATTGTTGTTTTCCGGTGGCAAAGTTCGGCCTGGTGAGGAATGATAATCATGACGTCATTGACGTCAAAGATAGTTTACATATTTAGACATCGTATTTAATTATAACAATAAGTTTACAAATGCTCAAAAACAGTTATCTTGTCAAGGTAGAAAGGCCATATTTGCTCTTAATGATAACACACGGTCCTTGTATCTGAATCCTCAAACGATGTTGTCTGTTTTCGATTGCTCTGTTGGAAGTGTTTTGTTCTATGCGTCTGAAGTATGAGGCTCTTATAAGGCTGAAAGGGCGGTGGGGTAGCCTAGTGGTCAAAGCGTTAGCTCGTCACGCCGAAGACTCGGGTTCGAGTCCCTACATGGGTACAATGAGTATTTCTGGTGTCCCCCGCCGTGATGATGCTGGAATATTGCTAAAAGCGGCGTAAAACCAAACTCAGTCAGTCAGTCAGTCATAGTCATATCGAAAGATTACATTATGATTATTGAAAACGGTTATTGGGTGCCAGAAATCAACTTGCAACTGTATGGTTTTTGCCGAACATGGTCGTTATCCTTTGCGCTACAAATGGATGTTCAATATTGTCAAGTACTGCAGTAAGCTGCTAGGAACTGATAACTATATATATTCTACGTGGGTGTTATGAATATCTATATGATGAGGTAGAAACAAGTAGTGTTCAGAACTGGGCCTTTCAGGTTAAGAATATTTTGACAACCCTTGGTTTTAGTGATATATGGTATAAACATGAATTGAATGTCTCCTATCTGCCTGTCATTAAACAGAGACTCATTGATCATGCTTTCCAGACTATTGGGAGTCAGTTGTCCAGTTTTACTAAGTGTAGATTGAATAAACATATATATTGATACTTTCACTTTGCAATATTATCTTCAAAAATCAATCCTGCAATTTATACAAAATATTTGACTAAATTTCGACTCTCTTCGCATAACTTATATATTGAAACAGAAAGGTATAATAATATTCACATGAACAATAGATATAGAGGATGAATTCCATTTTGTATTAAAATGTCCTGTTTATCAAGATTTAAGGAAATTGTACATTAAGCCTTACTATTGGAAAAATCCATCAGATTTAAGCTGCTATCAGTTATCCACTCAATGAACCTTACTGTAAGGTCTGTAGTCGATATTTTGAAAATAATTTAGGCTTAATGCCAGGGGAAGTGTTGTCACCCATTTTATTCTCTCTGTTCATTTATGACTTTGAAGAGGCTTTTCTGCAAAATAATTGCGTTCCCTATGAGTGCAAAACTCTTAGCCTTTTCTTGTTGATGTACGCTGACGATCTTGTTTTATTTTCTGAGTCAGTCGATGGTCTCCAACAGATGCTTAATACCCTATCAACTTACTCCGAGAAAGGGGGAATGCAGGTTAACACTCTGAAGACCAAGATTGTTGTTTTCCAAAACGGTGGCAAAGTTCGGCCTGGTGAGATATTGAAGGATAATCATGACGTCATTGACGTCCAAGATAGTTTTACATATTTAGGCATCGTATTTAATTATAACAATAAGTTTACAAATGCACAAAAACAGTTATCTTGTCAAGGTAGAAAGGCCATATTTGCTCTTAATGATAACACACGGTCCTTGTATCTGAATCCTAAAACGATGTTGTCTGTTTTCGATTGCTCTGTTGGAAGTGTTTTGTTCTATGCGTCTGAAGTATGAGGCTCTTATAAGGCTGAAAGGGCGGTGGGGTAGCCTAGTGGTCAAAGCGTTGGCTCGTCACGCCGAAGACTCGGGTTCGAATCCCAACATGGGTACAATGAGTATTTCTGGTGTCCCCCGCCGTGATGATGCTGGAATATTGCTAAAAGCGGCGTAAAACCAAACTCAGTCAGTCAGTCAGTCATAAGGCTGAAATATCGAAAGATTACATTTGGATTATTGAAAACGGTTATTGGGTGCCAGAAATCAACTTGTAATTGTATGGTTTATGCCGAACATGGTCGTCATCCTTTGCGCTACAAATGGATGTTCAATATTGTCAAGTACTGCAGTAAGCTGCTAGGAACTGATAACTATATATATTCTACGTGGGTGTTATGAATATCTATATGATGAGGTAGAAACAGGTAGTGTTCAGAACTGGGCCTTTCAGGTTAAGAATATTTTGACAACCCTTGGTTTTAGTGATATATGGTATAAACATGAATTGAATGTCTCCTATCTGCCTGTCATTAAACAAAGACTTATTGGTCATGCTTTCCAGTTGATTGGAAGTCAGTTGTCCAGTTTTACTAGTTGTAGATTGTATCAACATATTATTGATACTTTCACTTTGCAATATTATCTTCCAAAATCAATTCCTGCAATTTATGCAAAATATTTGACTAAATTTCGACTCTCTTCGCATAACTTATATATTGAAACAGGAAGGTATAATAATATTCACATGAACAATAGAACATGTCTGTCCTGTCCCAATGATATAGAGGATGAATTCCATTTTGTATTAAAGTGTCCTGTTTATCAAGATTTAAGAAAATTGTACATTAAGCCTTACTATTGGAAAAATCCATCAGTTTTCAAATTTGTCCAGCTCTTGAGTATCCAAAATCTTAAGCAACTCTTTAATCTGGTAAAATCCTATTCAAGGCTTCACAGTTAAGACTAATATTTTACTGCAAAATGTGTTTGTATGTTCTCCTTTTGTTTATATATTGTACCAAACCAACCACCCTGTCTGTACTAAGAATGTATACTTTCATGTTCACAACGGATTAGCTGCACAGCTAAAGGCAAATAAAGAATTGAATTAAAATCAATTATAGTTCAGCATTCAGTACATAAAAAAGCTCACTACAGACATAATTGCCCTTTGTCAGGACTGCCTTTATAGGCAGATGGCCATATACATATGTATTGCAAATACAGACTCCTATCATTCAAGTGTTTTTCGTCAATTACTGTAGAACACGATGAAACATGGACATAAAAGCCACCTTGTTTAATGATGTAGATCAACGTAAGTGCATGCAATTAAGAGAGCTGCGGGACGTATGAATAGACTAAATCTCAGGGGTTCTATAAAGATCTGATTGTCCCTGTGGATACGGCGCTGTTGCGAAAGGCTGAACAATGCAACTACGTTTTTAAAGAATTATCATTCATCCTGGTTTTGCCCTGAATACAAATTGTGTAGTCTGTGGTCTTTCCTGCAGTTACGGCCTCAAGTACCATTACCATAACATTAAACTACGGTTATTATAGTACAATATGTAAAGCCATTTTCTTTAGTACCCGCTTTTAGTTTTCAGAAATATTGCTAAATGCAGTATATAATCATGCTCACCCACTCACTCAGGTATATCGATCATCTGATATTTTTCAGTCAGCAAGACTGTATGACAGAAGAGATGACTTCACCGTTCCATATATTCACATCAATATTCCAGAAGCTTCCCATTTGAAGGTTTGGGGTGCAATCGAGCATGCACAAACAGTTCAAAGAAAATTATACAAGGCCTAGTCAAGTCATGTTAGGCTAGACTCACGCGTAATGCACCAGGACCACACTTTCCTATTGTCCCTCTGCCATGTGCTCTCGAGTGCTTTTCAGTAAAACATTTGAATTGCCTTTGCACATTTGTGATGGTGCTACCCACGTGGCAGGACGCATGCACCTTCTCTTGATGCACAAGAACAAAGAGTCAACACAGAAGTTCCAAACGATAATGGAACATTGTTGTTAATTCGTATACTGTTTATACTGTTTTGCGTTTACCCATCGCATGCATAATTTATAAGTAATCGCTTGGGTGATGCACGGTTGATAGATCATCACACACAAATGCATTGTCTGAGACACACCCAACGGCCATAGAGAATAGGATGGTCTCTTGAAGGACGTATACATGGTATATACAATCTGACTGTCGTGTCACGTGATCAGCGTGTTGATGTTGCATGACGGGAACATTTGTTGGATGCCTGTAAACAAATCTTGACTTTTGTAACACCGAAGACGTTTAAGGACATTACAGACTGTGCGGACTGCAGAAGGAGGTGCTGACAGTCAGGATGATCAGGGAGTGGCCGCTTCTCATCCTCATCCTCGCTGTGTACGGGGACGTTGCTGAAGGTGGCGGCGTCGAGGAAGGTCTGGACATTAATGTATAAATATATATATGTATATAACTTGTTATAAAATTTCACAATAACTCAGCTCAACTTTCTGCTTAAGTGAAATATGAAAAACATACGCTTGGAGAGATGATATGTATGAATGAAAATATTTCTGTATGTTTTTGTACTTGCACTTTCATATTTTTTTATTGCAAGGCGTAGAAAAATTGTAGTATTTGTGATGTATCTCGGGTATGTGAATATCATTGATTAAGCACAGAGGGTTGATCAAATATAGTTTGATTTAACGGCGTTTTTAACATTATTCAAGTTAAATTTACTATTAAAACCCCGCAAAGGTAAATCAGTTGTTCACCTTGAAAAACACGTTAACAATTGGCACAAATGGAAATATGGAATTGCACAGGAATTCAGACTTGTCATTGATGAGTCAAAATTTGAAATGCTCTTCACAGCCATAAAACGTTGTGAAAGTTTTACCGAGGCCTGCAAAGTTGTAATCTTGTTCAAACAAGTTCTGACAAAACCAAACATTGGCATAAGTCCAGCCTTAAACACACGCCTGGAACGGCAAGTCAAGTGTTCAACGCAACAAAAATATCAGTAGAAGCGACAAAACCCTTTCCACATTTATAAGAAATATCTGCCCAAAACAGAGTCTATTGTACAATCATGAGCAGATATTTGTTTCAGCAGCATTAATAAACCAGACAATCCAGTGATTGTCACCATGCGATACGATGACAGAGCATTGTGTTTTTGAATCACTATGAAATAGTGATGATACCAGGTGTTCGCGAAAAGGTGAGCGTATCCTGCCCCACCGGTGGCACCCGTTATAAACATATACTGAGTCTAGTCTTTTGTTCACCTGAAATAATGCGGGAGTGAGTGAGTGAGTTTAGTTTTACGCCGCTTTTAGCAATATTCCAGCTATATCACGGTGGGGGACACCAGAAACGGGCTTCACATATTATACCCATGTTACGACGTAAATTATAATAAAAACGCAAATTGTAATACTTGTAGCAAATTGTAATAAACTTGACGTAAATTGTAATAAAAACGTAAATTGTAATAAACTTGACGTAAATTGTAATAAAAACGCAAATTGTAATAAAAATTGACGTTAATTGTAATAATTTTCGTTGCGGTAAAATGTAATAAATATTTACGTAAATTGTAATAACAGTTTTAATCACTCGTAAATACGCGGGTGTTTGTTTTTCGTTGCATTTCATACATCAAATAAGCTTGTTAGGGCGATAACTCAAGAAAGAAATGATGGATTTTGTTCAAATTTGGTACCAAGGTATATTGGCGAGATTCACCGACACAAGTGAAACGGAGTGACCTTGAGATAATTTTCAAGGTCACAGCAAAAATCTGAGGGTTTTGCCAATATAAAGATTGTTAGCGCGATACCCAAGAAAGAATTGACAAATCTTAGCTAAATGACGAAAATGATATTCGTCCTGATATATAATCGATATAAAATCTCTTACTGTCCTCTGTATCATGTCTTTTCGCAAATATCTTTTGAGGTTTTGATATGTATAAATATAAAGTTGGGTGGGGGTGGGTTTCTAACGGGTATATCAAATCAAATCAAATCAAATCAAATTAGACATTTGTATAGCGCTACATATCCAGAGTCCTGCTCATGTGCACTTAGTCGAATGCTCCTTTGAAGAGGGTGGTTTTGAGACAAGATCGGAAACTGTTGATATTTTCCGATTTTCTGACATTTTCAAGTAATCAATTCCAGAGTACAGCACCCGGTCTGCTAAATGATCTGTCTCCGTATGTTGTGGTTCGGACAAATGGAATAGCCTAGCTGACTAGCAATGACATGCATCACAAATTAAACTTCAGGAAACAAAATATGCAAGAAACATTTTTGTATGAAATACAGTCCCCGTCTAAATGTAAATCAAGCAATCCAAATCTTTGAATGTTGATGATCACGGGAATTCATCCAATACTATGCTGAACATATTTTATATGATACTATCTGAGGGTATACCATTATCCAAGAGATAGCGCAATAGTGCAGTTGTAAGGCGTCTGCCTATCACGCTGAAAGCCCTGTTTCGAGGAGGCGCCGAGGTTCGGTTCCCGAGATGGGCACATTTGCGTAGTATTCTTGGACAAGATACTTAGATCTACACTGTCTCAGTTCACCCAGCTGTAAAATGGGTACCCGTGAGTATGTGCTGGCAATGTGAGTGTTAAGTTCATTGCGCCTAACAGGCAGCATGGCTGTACAGTCCCCAGGGAGTTTAAAAAGTATCGGAAACTACGATAGTGTCCTATGATCGGGGATAGTAATGTACGTAGCGCCGTGAGCAGGCAATGTGCCTGGATGTGAGCGCCATATAAGCGGACTATTACTATTACTAGATACCAAATGGGAGATCGTTTTCCATTTTCTGCAAATTTGCAAGAAACATAATACCCCAATGTTGTGAAGACTAATATCTCGCTAACCACATTACCCACATGCAATCATGGATATGACTTTGCTAATGATTCCTTCAAAATAAAATGGATGCTTTTTTTCAAACATTGGACATCGAGAATATAGTTAGTTTGACTACTTTTTCAACGCCCCTCGTAACATACTAAAAAGAAATGAGAACGTCTAAGGAAGAAAGCATTTCGATCTCTGAATACTTCTGAGCTATTTAAATACAAAAAGCAAAGGAATAAAGTAAATAATCTGAAAAGAATAGCCAAGGGAAACTTTTAATCTATTTTTGATAACTATTTATCACCTCAGTCTACTCAATCAGGTTGTTACTACTTCATCGGGACCCATTCCCCTTCTTGTCACTGATGATTCTGGGATACCTTCAGTTTTTACAGATTTGGATAAAGCTCAAACATTAAATGAATATTTTGTATCTGTTTCAAATGTTACTGATGGCGGCAAGACTTTGCCACCTGTTAGCCATCGCTGTGTTAACAGTATAACAAATGTCATTGTAACCGAAAAGGAGGTATCTGATAAGACCTTCCCAGCAAACAAATCTAGTGGACCTGATGGCATTAACATGAGAGTGTTAAAACGAATTTGTACATCTATAGCTGAACCTCTTTGTTTGTTGTATAACATATCACTGAGTGACTGTATTTCCTACAATGTCTAAAACGGGTAATGTTACTCCTATTTTGAAAGAAGGAAATGCATCCCTCCCAACTAATTACAGACCTATTAGTTTAATACCTATCCTTTGGAAAATCCTTGAAAGAATAATGGTAAAGCATTTCCATGAACATAACATTTTAAGTAAATTCCAGTCAGGTTTTACTGCTAGTCATTCTACTACATCTCAACATAGACATATATCATAATATATGCTCAGTCCTAGATAATCACCACCTTTACTGTATGCTGTTTTGTGATATTTCAAAAGCTTTTTACAGGGCATGGCATAAAGGTTTATTGCACAAATAAGAAAATGATGGTGTTCGTGGAAACGTACTTAGTTGGTTAACTAACTATCAATCTGGGCCCGGTTGTTCAATACTCGGTTATCTTAACCGCCGGTTAACTCCTAACGGCCGGTTAAATCCTAACGTTAAATATGCGTTGTTCAAAACATGGTTAGTCATGCCGTTAGCTAACGTCGCCGTCAAAGTTTAACAGTGTGGTTAACGTCACTGGTTAGTTTCCATATATCCCATAGTTCCGTTTTCTGTTTACTTCCGGTTTACGAAAAATGAAAACGCAAAATGTCGCCTGCACCTCAAGGAGAAAGAGAAGTCGAAATTTCTCTGCTGACGAAGAGAATGTAATCCAGTCAATGGTTGAGGACAACTCTATAGTTTATCATAGGCATGCGAAAGTCGTAGCGCTACGAACGTTTTGGATTTGAACACAAGGTTCCAGCCGTTTGCATAATTTATATTTCAAAGACAAATGATCCCAGCTCTGAGTGGGACCTACTTCAATTCCAACAACAGAAAAGACATTTTAATGAAAAACTATAGCACAGCTATAGATAAAAAATGATGAATCCATGGAAATAATATTAATATTAGAAGCATGTTGTCCGTGGATAGAAAATGTATAAATATTACACACAGAGTTAAGCTTAGACGGCTACAGTCTTAATGAATCTTTGAATTTCCACAAGACCTATCGCTCACTTTTCACTCCTTAAATTGTCATGACTGTATGGCCAAGTCGTGAAGATGCTATCAATATCATTTATTAATTATTTGCCAAGTCTGTCAAAAAGTGTAATGCATGAACACACATTGCCAAATCTTTTAACATCAAACAATATAGATGTTGTGTAGCTTATACCATAGCTTTTATCTGAAATGTGCATTCAATACCAATAGAAACTTAATATGTTACCAGCACCACGTGCAAGCAGATCAAACTGTAATTGTACCATAGGCCTCAGGGCCAACACTGCTGAATAAAAATTGATCTATTATCCGACCTTACTGTTGACAGGAATCTCGTGAATAATACTGTGCAATATCGTCATTCGAAAAGATGTCTTGAAAAACATGAAACGCGTCTAATTTCACATAAGATCAGATGGACGTTCATTTATCGATTCTGCAGAAAATGATTCTTTTAAATGATCACGATCATAGTATTATATACTCTCCCAAAAAAAAACGCATATGAAACTGTATTTTTTATGTTTATTTTGAAACATCTTGTAGGCTTTATGAGTCAATGAAATATAGCGAAATTGCAGAATCACAGACTTATCCGTCTTTGGCACCAACTCGAGGGAAGTCAGTTTGAGTGTCACATGGAGACGTGTGTTGGCGCTGAAGTCAATACCTCGATGTGACCACCGTGGGCATCCAGAACTGCACGGCATCGCCTCGGCATCGAACAAATCAGAATCTCGTGTTGCCCAATCGCAGCCCACTCTGCCTGTAGTGCCTGTGCGAGTTGCTGCTGAAGTGTCTGGGGCTGGCGAGGGGTTAGGGCGTCGCACCCGTCTGCAGGGCATCCCACAGATGTTCGATCATCCGCGG